GCCTGCATTTGGATTACCAAATAGGGTTATTTACATAATTTCTGTGTTGAACGTTCCTTCGGTTGAACGTTCCTTTTAACGATGCAAATGGGCTTAAATGGCTTCCAAAGTGACTTCACATTCAGGAAGAATGTGTGTCCATGGGAAGGAGACATCTGGAAGACCAGCTTCCTAGAGGTAGGGCTTCACTCCCTAAGGGAAAGGATGGGCCCCCCAGTACGGGGTCACCAGGTTCTGCGGGGTCAAATATGAAGGTCCGACCATGAGAGGAGTCCTACCTGATGAGGGTCCTGGAGCTGAAGGTCAGTTAAGTCCACCGCTCCTTGGGGCATGGCCGTAGGGGCTGCAGGGCCCCATGTGGCCCCAGAACACCTTATAATCCAGACTCAAGGTGCTGGTCACAAACCACAAGAACACATCAGTGTTGGTTGAATTCTAGGCTCTTAGACTCCCCTCCTGCCACCATTTTTTTTTTTAAAGAGTGAGGTGGCTTTTTTCCTCTTACATTCCCAATCTACATGACAAAATACAGAGCAAATTGTGTTTTCTTCTCTCCTAAGAGATGTCAGTGTTGTCCTCCGTTACCTTAGGTATATGTGCCTTTGAGTTGAGGAGAAAGCTTACTGAAGACAGAATGGAGGCCTTCACAAGGACACTCTATTTCCTGCACCCGTTCCTGGCTGGCTAATCTGTCAACTCCCTTGAGATTCTCCCATTGGAATCCAGATATTTATCATTCTGTTCTAGAAAAAAAAAGCCAGATGTAATTTGGGAAATCTTGTAAGACATCATAGAAGGACGTTGCATGACTGAGGGCTGCAAAACTGCCTTGGTTGGCATTCCTCTTTGGCTGACAGACTGGGCTGGGCAGCATTGGACACCCATGGTTGCCCTTGAGCAGGCACAGACTCTGGGGATGAGAGTGGTGTAGAGGAGGAAAAAAAATCTTTCCTTCAACTCTTCTAGGTTCTTAGCTAGGGCCGCTGTATGAAGAGACAGATTAGCAGGAGAAAAGCACAGATATTTATTAACATGTATATTTCACATATACCCGGGAGAAATTCAAGGATAGGGAAACTTCAAAAGGTGGCTTAGAACTTGGCTTGAGGGGCACCTGGGTGACCCAGTTGGTTAAGTGTCCAACTTCAGCTCAGGTCATGATCTTGTAGTTCGTGAGTTCAAGCCCCATGTCGAGCTTATGCTGACAGCTCAGAGCCTGGAGCCTGCTTCTGTGTCACCCTCTCTCTCTGCCCCACCCCTGTATCTCTCTGTCTCTCAAAAACTAATAAATGTTGAAAAAAAAGTTTTTTGAAATAAAACTTGGGCTTAAATACCATCTTCAGCTAAAACATAGGAAGAGGGACCAGTTATGGGACAGGCCCAGCAAAACTACTGTAAACTAAGATGAGTTTTATTATGCAGAGTGAAGTCAGTGCTTTCTCCATGGATAAGTCTCTTATGATTTGGAGTCATCCTTCTCTTCCTGGTACAGAGAAGGCACCCTTGCAAATGGAGATTTTTTTAATAAATATAATTTTCCCTTACAAAAGGGGGAATTTCTACTCTGTTTTCAGAGCTTCTCTGTCTGCTGTGTCTCAAAATAATCAGCTCAAAATTATCTTTCTGACTAAGATGCGTATTTCAGGGTGGCATATTCTGGTCTCCTGCAGTGGCTGTGCCTGGGGCCTGAGCAAGGAGAGAAGGATAGGGACGCCAAGAGGCACATATCTGAGAAGGAGTGTTGGTAAGGGCCCTGAAGGGCAGAACACACACACACACACACACACACACACACACACACACACACTTCAGACACAGACTTGGACATTCTGGGGAGACCATTAGGCTGGGCAAACCAGCACAGCTCATCAGGATGCCAGTCCTGCCCATGCATTGAGTGCTCAATCAGGAAGGAACCTTCCAGAAACTCAATCTGACCCATTCTCTTCTTAGTTGGTGCTGGGAGCATAAAGAGAATATGGGGTCAGAAATCTAGCCTTGGAATAATGATAATAATGACGGCCCACATCATGTGCATTGAGAGCTTTCTTGGAGCCAAGCACTGCTCTAAGTGCTTGACAATATAGCACATCTCATTTAAACGTCACCACGATCCAGAGAGGTAAGGACTGTTATTATCCTTCAGTCTACAGAGGAGGACATTGGGACAAGTTGCCCCAGGTCAACCAATAAGAAATGGAGCCGGTGATGGAAGCATGCAGTCTGAAGCCTGGGTCCAAGCCCAGAAGCTTATCACTGATCTCCCTTTGAAGGGCTGGAAGGCTCTGTGGTGCCTTTAGATTTTTATATCCACAACCTCAAGTGGGCCCTTGTTATAGCTTTGTGGTATAGGCAGGTGGGTAATACAGCTCCATCTAATGGGTGAGGATGCCTTAAGCCTGGAAGGAAAGAAGACAATGACTTGTTTCACATCGCAAAGCTAGTCTCCAGAGGAGGTGGAACAAGAATATTGGCCTCTTTTTCTGCACCTCATGGCCATCTCCATGCCAGCTCTACACACAGCTCAGGGAAAGACTGATTTGAGAGGCCTTGAACACTAGAGCATTTGGATGATGAAAAGCAAGGAAAGGAAACGAAATGGCACTGGAAGCTAACCTAATTTTCTCTATACGGGCTCTACTAATAATGAAAAGACAAACAACCCAATTAAAAATTGGGCAGAGGATCTGAATGGACCTTTCGCCAAAGAAGATATACAAATGGCGAATGAGTCCATGAAAAGATGCTCAATGTCATTAGCCATCAGGGAAATGCAAATCACAACCACAACAAGATGCTACTTCACGCCCACCAAAATGGCTCTAATCAAAAAGATGGACAATCACTAGGGTTAGTGAGGACATGGAGAATTTACACTGCTGGTGGGAATGTAAAATGGTATAGCCACTTTGGACAAGATTAGCAGCTCCTGGAAAGATTAAACACAGAGTTACCATATCACTCTGCATTTCCACTCCTAGGTATATACCCAGGAGAAATGAAAATATGTCCATATCCATATAAAAACCTGCCAACATCAGATACTCAACTGATTGAGCCATGCAGGCACCTCCACTTAGCAGTAGTTGAGATCTGAGATCCAGTAGTGCCAATCTTACACCCTATGCCAATACAAGGAAATGCCATTCAAGAAATGTGTTCAGTAAGTGGCACGGGGGGGTGTTGACTAGTTCATAAGGATTAAAAACAGCTCCAGTGTGTGCCTAGAGGCTGCCTGTGATAGATGGTACACATGGGAAACCCAAGGCAGCCTAGAGATTTGATTCAGAGGTAAACCAGTGGTCTAGATTACATGCCTGAATTCATTAGTTGGGGGATTCCTCGTAGTCTCAGGATTATTCCTCAAGAAAGTCAACACTGGGGTGGCCAGTGTAAGGAAGCTGATGCCCTCCACTGGTGATGACCCTGGCCCTGCAGCCTAGGTCCATGCTCTGTGGTGTAAGGAATCATAGACCCAACACCAGAGCCAAAAGGAGGCTCAGAAATAGCCTCCTCCCTCATTTATAGATGAGGAAACTGGGGTGTGGGGTGGGGTAGAATGAGTGTGCGCAAATTCTGGGAGAAATGGAGCCCGTGGTCTTTCTTTACCAGATACCCCCTCAGTATCTCTCAGCTTGTGCTATAGATGCCTCCCAAGGGTGTCCAGGCTGGACTGGGCACGCTGGTGGTGACCACTGCAGTGTAGATTCGCATTATGAGCCAGGATGCCAAGGAACTGCAGTCCCAGAAGCATGAGGGTGGTTGTGGATTTTGTGGGCAGAGAAGTTGGGGAGACTCAGATCTTCCTGGTGTTGAGTCCTGTAATAAAGGCCCTTTGTCAATCTGGTTCTCCTTTCTGTGCCTGTCATGTTGTATCTCTAGACTATTTATATTTTTTCCCTTCACTTCCTTCCTCCCTCCCTCTTTTGCCCTCTCTCTAGACCCATTCCGCATATGCGCCCTCCATCCCCACTGCACTCACTAATACATTCACATGTTCATTCACCCATTGAACCTGACTTTGTCAGGTGCTTACTGATGTGCCAGACCCAGTGGGGACATAGGATGACATGGGTCTGGTCCTCAATGAGCTAACAGCCCGGCAAAGAAAATAGAAAGTAGTATGCTCACATACCCACTGTGTGCATGGCACACTCACAAAATCACAACTGTGGTAAGTTGTACTTGCACAAGTGTCTACAAGTGCTACATGAGCATATATTGGGGGCTCTGATTTTATGAGGGGCTTCCCTGAGGAAGCACTGGTTGAGCTAAAGACTCAAGCTCCTCAAGTTGGAGGAGGAAGTAACTAGGCAGAGAAGGAAAGAGTGCCCCAGGCTCAGCAAAGGCTCTAAGCCTGGAACGAGTGTGGCACATGAAAGAAGAGAAAGAAGGGGCGTTGTGGGGAGCTGCACATGATGGTGAGGTGGGCACATAAGTCCTCAAAAGCCATGTGAAGATTCTGGACCTTTATTCTCAGAGCAGTGGGAGCCCATGAAGCATTCAGGGGAATGACATGATCAGATCACAGCACTCTGACTGCTGAGTGGAGGCTGGATGGATGGAGCTGTGGGGACGTGGGTGCCGTGGTCCCAGGTGGTGACAGCTTGGAGTGGTGGTGGAGGAGCTGGTGGTCTGGTGGTCGTGGCAGGTGTTTGGGGAGTGGCTACAATCGAGCCATAGTTAAGAGGCATCGCCTGCAGGACTTGGTGATGGTTTGACCAGTGTCTGGGGAGGAGACTACTAAAGATGGCACCTGGATTTCTTTCTAGATCCTGCATCTTCCTGTTCAGTCTTAATGACTAGGGTGTGGGGGGAGGGAGGGTGGAGGTTCAGACCCTATAACAGCATCCAGGGCTCTTTCGAGAGACAGCTGCCCCCAGGTGGCACCTGGAGCATCTCAAGAAAACCTTTCATGTTCTCATGGCACTTTTTTTTTTTTAGAGTAAAAGGACAGTCTTACTTTAATCGAGTTCCAGAAAAAGGGCACACTGCCTTGGCAAGGACTTGTCTCAGCAGAAGCCACAAGGGCGTGTGTAAAAGGATGTTTCTAGAAAATACCAAAGGCACCAAACATAGCCCCAATTCTGCCCTCCATCTGCCCGTGATGCCACTCCACATCCCGGGTGGGGAGGCTACTTCGTCCAGCTGACTTTGGGAATGTCGTAGTGCTCCGTGAGGGTGTCCAGGTGTCTGTTGAAATCCTCCACTCTCTGCTTGTGGGTTTTAGACGCTTTCTTCAGGATCCTTTCCATTTGCCGCTTCTCTTGCATCTTCTCGAAGGCTGCCTGGGCCGGGGTGCCCTTGTCCAGGCCGCGCCGCTTCTCCTCCTCGTTCTTCTTGCTCGTTCCCATTGCTTCCAGGAGTTTCGCTTTGTCTTTGTCCTTCTTTTTCTTTTTCCGCTTGGTCACACCGAGCTCTGCAACGCCTTTCAGTTTCAGGGGCCCCTTTTGAACCTGCTCGTAGGCCGCCATGACACCATCTGCAGTTCTGTAGGTAAACCGCCACATTTCATACTCTAGTGACACAGTTATAAATTCTCACTAGATTCTTTTGGCTCCAAACCTATCATTCCTGAACAATACTTCCTTCTACTTTGGAGCAACACCTGGCCTCTAAAAATGGTGGAATAGTACTAGACCTTGAACACTCGTAGTGGTTTCCAAAGCTGGACACACAAGATAACCCACTGGGGTCCAAGAAGAATATATTAGCACCTCCATTGCTGTATAATTTTAAATGTCTCTGTCCATAAATGTATCATGTGTAAAATACGTTAGTATGATAGCATGTGCATGTAATTTTAAATGGATAAAGTCAACATATTGGATGATGGGCTTCAACTGTTGTTGTTGTTGTTTTTTTTTCAGTTGAGAACGTATATCAAAAATGTTTAGAGGCTACTGCCTACAATAGGTGATATAACCAGCCACCTTGGCCTTAGCTCCTGGCTTCTGCCTTGTTTCCTGGCCTCCTCCATGGCTCCTCTCCTCCACCAAAGCAGTGACTTCAGGCTCCTTGACTTTCCCTCCTTACCTCCAGTCTCCTCAGTGATGGGGGCACAGGGGAGGGCATGGTCTAGGCAGTACCTGGAACATTAGATCCCCGCACCACTTCCCAACATCCCTGGAATGGAATCCCCAGTGGTCAGAGCTTTGGCCAGGGACACCCACATTCTCTTTGCCTCAGTCATAAAACCACAGCCTCAGAAAAAGATATGCAATGAGTTTAGGCCAGTGGTCCCCAAATCTGGGAATTTTCAAATTTTTTTCATGTGTATTCATTTTTGAAAGAGAGAGAGTTGGGGGGTAGCAGAGAGGGAGACACGGAATCCCACGCAGGCTCCAGGCTCTGAGCTGTCAACACAGAGCCCGAAGCGGGTTTGAACCCACGAACTGTGAGATCATGACCTGAGCCGAAGTCAGACATTTAACTGACTGAGCCACCCAGGTGCCCGCTTTAAGACAAAAAAACAACAACAATTTTTTAAATGTTTATTCATTTTGAGAGACAGAGACAGAGTAGGCATTTGTTATTTTAAAGCATCCCTTGGTGATTCAGAGGCACAGCCAGGTTTAGGAACCAGAAGTCTAGGCCAGCTTCTCATCCTGCCCTTGAACAGAAGACTGAAGACTCTGCAAAGTACAGAGGGCATTCAGGGAGACCCCCAGACAGGCTGAAATCCAGGCTGAAAATTCTAGAATTACTAACTTTTGCCTAGTCTGATGACATACTTTCCATAACCTTTAAGACTCTAATGATATAGTAAAATACTTATTAAACAATATGAGTTGAATGAATGAAAAGCATCAAAAGGTAGAATTAAGCCAGCACGCCCTTGAAGACTCTCTCTCTCTGGAGTGATGGTGGAGAAATCAAGAATCAATTGCACCCTTTGACATCTGTCTCCCGTAGTGCCTTCTTCCTCCAGGGCATCAGGTGTCAAGAGCAGAAAGGATGTGTCCAGCCTAAGACTCTTGTGATGCTCTTTTTCTTCCAGAGGCCCAGATAGCCTTGGGCAGGCTATCTGGCCCAGGGCATGATGCTACCATCCTATGTCCAGCTACACAAGCAAAAACCCTAGGAGTACTTCTTGATCCTTCTTTGTCTCCGCCATATCCAACCCGTTGCTCAAGATTTTGCCTATTAAAAGCCTCAGATCTGTCAACCTATCTGTTTCTATTCCATTACCCTAGCCAAAGCCACCAGCATTCCTCCCGGCAATGACATTAAGACCCTCCTGCTTCCTCTGTCTGCCCTCACCTTGCTGCGACTCTGTTTCCCGCACTTCAGCCAGAGCTCTCTTTGTCAAATTCATATCTTTCAGCAGCCTGTCATTTAGAACAAAGATCTGTTTCCTTCACGTGGCTTATGGGCCCTGCGGGTGCAAACCCGGCCTGCCCACCCAGCTTTATTTCATACTACCCTCCTCCCTTTCACCCTTGCTCTGAGATACAGCCACACGGCTCTTCTCTCAGTTCCTTGAATATTCCGTGTATGCCCGTTGTTTGTGTAAGCCCAAATTTAGTGGCTTGAAAGAACAATTGATTTGCTCACGATCCTGGAGTCTGGCAGTCTAGGCTGCGGTCAGCTGGCTGAGTCCTGTGCCCCTCAGAGCATTGGTGGGCTCCTTCATGCATGGGTGCTCAGTCAGGGGATTGGCCGGAAGAGTCTGGTCCAGCTAAAGCCCAAGGCGTGTGAGTGAGGCCAGGCTGGGATCCCTTTGCCCCATGGTCCTTCATCCTGTTTCTGCACAGCATGGTGGACTCAGGCTCTCAAGAGGGGGACAGGAAAAATTGCAAACCCTCCCAAAGCCTGTCTCGGAAAGTGCAAAACATCATGTCTACTGCATTCTACCCACCAGTGCAAGTCTGAAGACTAGCCCAGATCCAAGAGGAGGGGAAGTAGGTCCAACTCTTTGATGGGTGGAGCAAAAAAGCCACATTGCAAAGGAGCATGGGAGAGATTGTTGCAGCCATCTTGAGCACAGCCCACCACCCCAGGCTTTCCCCATTAAGGCCACTGCGCCTGTGCTGGCCACCCCCATGCTTGGGCTCTTGTCCACTTAGCCCACTTCTTTAGCCAAATTAGCTCAGTCTAGGCTTTCTGATCTCACCGTACATGCCCTACATCAGGGATGCTTTCTCTAAGCCTAAGGGCCACGTCCCTTTGTTGGATGCTAGTTTTTCTAGCACCGTGTTGCTCTTCTTCACTGTAATTGGCTCTGCTTTTGAGAGGGTACATCTGCCTGTGATTATTTAATTAATGTGTTTCCCTTGCAAGATCATCAGCTTCATGAGAGCAACGACTTGTCTGTTGACACTCTCCATGCCATTCCCATGCTGGAACGTGGGCTCTGGGTGGAATTTTCTGGATGAATAATTGTAAAGTAATTAATGCCTGTTATTGGAGTCATCACATCTCCTGATGGCCACCTCCCACTTCCCAGGCAGAGGGTCACCAAGAGCCTTGCTATGGCTCCAGCCCCATGAGATCTGGTCCCAGAGCTTAGAGTGAGCTGTCTTCCTGGGCCATTTCAGCCCATCTGGGAGGCCTATCCCCTCCTCTGGGGAGGATCTCTGGGCCTAGAGTGCTATTCCAGGATGGTCGTTTCCTCTCTTTTTCCTCCCTGGCATCACAGATGTGCTGATCAGTCTTTTACCCCCACCTCCCTATTCATTTCCCTTTGGTATAATTTCTTCCAGTCTCTGTAGGACCTCGCCATTTGGGCTGGTAAAACAGTAATGGAAGGAAGGATAAACTTCCTTGGGAGCAGCTGTACTTGGGACGTGCGTAGCTAAGGTTTACGTCTGGCAGAAGGATAAATCGATCGCTCCATTTATGGAGCTACCCTTTTGCTTTTGTACCCCTCAGGTAGAGTAGGGAGCTGTGTGAATGCCAGTCCTCTGGATCAGCCCTCAGCAGCTGCCTTACTTAACCTTTTGGGTTGTTTCTAAGCTATTGAGCCCACTCTCTTGAATGGCTTCACTTCTACCATCTATACTCAGTCATTTGACCATGGACAGATCTCACTTCAACTTACCAACACACAGGGCCAGCTCTTGAGCTCTGCTGTGACCACTCCCACCAACTTGCAGAAAAGCCTCCCAAGACTTGAGAATCACTTGACCACTGGCTCCTTCAGTTTGCCTTGCATTGCACTTCCAGATGGCTTTCTGCAGCAGGAGGCTAACTCTGGCGCCCCTAACAATGCCACCCCTCCCCTTGAGGATATCGTTGGTGCCACTTCAGATCCACTGAACTTCTTAGGGCCATGGATACACACCCTGCCCCCTCACTCACCCTGCCTACAGAGGCACTGGCCAGGCATCCTGAGTGAGGTGCAAGCTGTGGCTGAGGAAATTCTGGAGGACCTGGGACTGCAGGTCAGCTCCCCCTGGGTAGGTGGGGTCAGAACTGTGGTACCCACCAAGTAAGGGCTGGCCTGTGGGTGTGGCCTGGGTTGTGGTTCTGGCTCGCTCACTTACTGACTATGGATTGTAAACAACTTATCCAAGCTCTTGGGCCCTCAGTTTCCTCATCTGCAAGGATTTCATGAGGTACTTGGTGTTGGTGCTTGGTTGTAAGGATTTGGCTGGTCCTAGGCTCTGGAGCAGGCTGAGGGAAGACACTCACCTCTGTAGGATCTGCGGAAGCAGAGGGTGGAGGAAGGATAAAGCAGAGAGGAGCTCCCAGGAGCTGCTCCAGGGCTAGGGCTGTCCCGCAAGGCCCAAGGGATTGCGCTCAGTTGGCCTCCCACACCTGGGTGTTTGTGTCTCTTCTTTTTCCTTTCCATTTTTTTTCCTCGCTAGCTCTCTCGCTCGCTCGCGCTCTCTCTCTTCCCCTTCTCTCCCTCCTTCCCTCCCTTCCTTCTTTCTTTCTTTCTTTCTTTCTTTCTTTCTTTCTTTCTTTCTTTCTTTCTTTCTTTCTTTCTTTCTTTTTTTCCTTTCGTTCTCTTGCTTTACCTCTCTCTCTCTCTCTCTCTCTCTCCCTCCCTCCCTTCCTTTCTTTCTTTTTTCCTTCCTTCCTTCCCTCCTTTCTTCCTCTCTCTCTCTCTCTCTTTCTTTCTTTCTTAGGTTAAAATTACGTCTTCTGCCTGAAATTTCCAGAAAAGTTTGCAGCTTGTCCATTTCAGTGATGTCATTTTCTGTCTCATACAAGATATGCTGCTGCTAGTTGCTCATGCTTGTGACTCTAAATCCAGTCCGAGTCACTAGAGGTGACTGACTGAGGTGTAAACCAAGGCCAGGCTGGCCCCATATGGTAACAGGAATGTGTTCCAGCCAGAACAGGTCTGTGCTGACACCGGTGATTCACTCCAGGTTTGCTAGGCCCAGCAGAGGGCTCTCTGTACCATCAAGATGCTAAATAGTCTATGAGCCCTTTGCCCCTCCCCAGACTGTACAGGAAAGCCTAAGTGGCTCTGAGTTGGTGCCCACTGAGTATGCCAACTGGTATCCACATGGCAGAGCCCAGGACAGGAAGCAGTGTCCCTGCTTCACAGGACAGACATGCTGTGCGGCCTGCCTCCCATCTGGCACACCATCTCCCACTCTTGTTTAAGAGGCTTGGGGGTCTGACCTGGCCCCTCTGCTCTCTCAGCCCACTCCTAGCAAGGGCAATCTGAAACAATTTTCCCTAGGGACAGTCTGAAACAATTTGAACAATCCTGACCTTAATCTGGACTGCTTACAGAAGACTGGCACCAAGTTGGCCTACCTGTGGGTTCTCTTCCCACCTGGAACCCCCATTCTTGTTACTGGGTTTCTGGCTTTTGCTGAGGCCCCTCATACACCTGCACCTGTGATCCCTACTCCAGAACTGGTCTTCACACAACGCTGCTTTGGATTGTATTATTTCTCCTTAGCTTCCCAAACTGGAATCTATCCCTTGAATCTTCTTTTCCCATCTCTCCGTGGAATTATTTATCTATCTGTTTATTTTTGTCACAGCTTTGTTGAGGTCTTCACATACCATTATGATTCACTCATTTAAAGTGTACAACTCTGGAGCACCTGGGTGGCTCAGTCAATTAAGCATCTGGCTCTTGATTTCAACTCAGGCCATGATCTCATGGTTCATGAGATTGAGCCTCATATTGGGCTCTGAGCTGACAGCATGCAACCTGCTTGGAATTCTCTCTCTCCCTCTCTCTCTGCCCCGTCTCTGCTCGTGCTGTCTCTCACTCTTTCAAAATAAATCTTAAAAACATGAAGAATTTTTTTTTAAATTAAGTGTACATCTCAATGGTTTTTAGTATATTCAAGGAGTTGTTCAGTGATCACCTCAATTGATATTAGAACATTTTTATCACCCTAAAAGGAAACCGCATACCCACTCTGCTTTCTTCCAATTCCACCCCTAGCCCAAGGCAACTATTAATTTTCTTTCTGTCTGTATGGATTTTCTTATACTGGACATTTCATATAAATGCAATCATATAATACCCTGTCCTTTATAACTGGCCTCTTTCCCTTAGCATAATGTTTTCAAGGTTCATCCATAGTGTAGCACATATCAGTGTTTTGCTAAATAGTATTCCATATAATGGTAAATAATATTCCATATATTTTGTTAATCCTTTCATCAGTTGGTGAACATTTGCCTAATTGTAGGTCATGAAAATTTGCCCTTACGTTTACTTCTAAGAGTTCTACAGTTTTAGCTCTTACGTTTATGTCTTTGATCCATTTCAAGATACTTTTTGTGTATGTTGCGAGGGGTGGTCCAAATTCATTCTTTGGCATGTTGTCCTAGCACAAGTTGTTGAGAAGACAATTTCCCCGCATGTCTTGGTTGAAAGTCTGTCAGTTGTAAATGTGAGGCTTTATTTCTAGACTCTCTGTTCTATCCTGTTGTCTATCCTTATTCCTGCACCACACTGTCTTGATCATAGTAGCTTTGTGGTAAGTTGAAATCAGAAGTGGAAGTCCTCCAGCTTTGTTCTTTTCAAGGTTTTTTGGAGTCTGTTGTATTTCTACATGAATTTTAGGATTAGTTTGTTAATTTCTGCAAAGAAGCCATCTAGGGTATTGACGGGGATTGTGTTGAGTCTTTCAATCAATTTGGGAATTATTGACACCTTAACAACACTAAGTCTTCCAATCCATGAACATGGGATGTCTTTCCATTCATTCCCTGAATCTCAAAACTGCCCAGTGCTTCATACTTGTGCAACTCTGTATCTTTGCATATTGCCCACCCCAGAAATCCAGCTCCCTTGTTTTATCTGGTAAGGTCTCTTGCCCCTATTCCCCACAGGCACTGGCCATATTTGCCTCCCTGCCTTGGCTTCCTTCCACTGTCAGCAACTGCCATGACAACCCAGGGAGGAACCCAATTGTCAGGTCCCCCAAATCAAACTACTCTGGACCACAGACTGTCTACCAAACTCTTAGCTTACATCTCCTCCTTGAAGGTGAGGATTCATGGTTATGAGAAGAATTTTCCATCTGTATCATTTCCCTGTGGTGCAGCCAGAGTTGGGAAATAGAAACAGGAGATCACACACATGGATTTTGCCACCAGTTTCGATCAGTAAAGAGCCAGGGATGGTGTGCAAACTTGCAAGAGGGTCCCAGTATCCTCGAGAAGGGGGTCCGGGAGACTAGAGGTAGAGTGGCTTGAAGTATCCCAGGTTGGGGCGAGCGTATGTTGTGCTAACTGCATCAGCTCACCAGCATGCTCTCATTTATGGAGAGTGTACAGGATTCTCATGGCAGGACAATAGTACCTGAAGCCTCTCTGTGTCTTCTCTCCCCACCAGTAGCAGGAAGTTTATTTCCACAAATTAGTCCTTGACAATCAGGAATGCTTTGTTTTGCCTGCCTGGGACTGAAAGAAGCTGGATAGTTCAGCTTTTCCACACAATCAGGGCCTTTTGAGCCTGGATGGCTGCCATGCCCATGCAGAGAATGGCAAGTGTCACTTCCTTGGGCTGTTGCATCCGTCAAAGGCAACTACTAGATCAGCCTTCCACCTGCACATTCCAATTCCAGCAATAACAAGTGATGCCTGCACAGGATAATATTGGGGAAAATGCTTCCAGAAGGCTGGGCATCTGTGCTCTTAGGACTCCCACATAGAGCATATTAACAATGCATAAGTGGCCTGTTTACACTTGGTGCTGCTATGAATAAAGATGGTTTGTTTTTCAGTCTGAATTTTCTGTTCTGGGTCTGCAGGGCCCAGCTTCAGCCACGTGAGAGAGAAAACCTCCACGGGTGCCAACTGTGTGCTCCTGAGAACTTAAGAAAACCCATGTGCCACCAGGAGCCACCTTGGGTTTATGGGCCTTAGTTACTCAGAGCTCTACTTTAATATCCTAAACTATTTTATCTGTAAAATTCTCCCAAACCTTCTTTTCCACCTGTTTTAGCTAGGTTAGGTTAGTCTAGCCCGCAGTCACAGCCCAACCCTAAAATACATTAAAAGGTATTTTTCACCCAGGCTGGGTCCCCTGACCATTCATTGCCTTTGGGCCTTGGGGAGGGGCAGTGGCCTCTAGGGATTTCTCTGTCAGGCTGATAAAGTCGTCCCTCCTCCAGGTGTGGCTCTGCGGGGGCAGCATGGAGGTCCTGCCTTGCTCACGGGTGGCACACATTGAGCGGAAGAAGAAGCCCTACAACAGCAACATCGGTTTCTACACCAAGAGGAATGCTCTCCGGGTTGCTGAGGTCTGGATGGATGATTACAAGTCTCACGTGTACATAGCCTGGAACCTGCCACTGGAGGTAGGGTCCCAGCAGCCCTTCCGCATCACCCTGGACCAGGGCTCCTGTTAGATGAGTCGCTGGTGGTGTCTCCTCAGAAAGACGCTTACGCTTGCAAAATTATAAGAGCATTCTGAAGGGGTGCACAGATCTCCAGGTGTCAGAAACCCTGCCTTTACATGGGGCCTGGCCCAAGGGAAATCTCGAAATCCAATTACAAAGAGTAGAAGGGTCTTCTGGAATTAATCCCAGCCATACTACGACCATCCGGATGCCCTGCTTCTGAACACACATCATGTTCTGGAAGCTTCTTCACCAAAGCTTCTGGTACCAGACTCCATCATTTGCCCTTACTTTGTGCCCTCCCATGGAGCTGCAGCTGGCCCATGCCATACACCCCCTGCTAGTTTACATGGCTCTTCAAGTCTCTGTATTCTTCCCAGAATGCAACCTAAGAAAACTCCCATGTTACTGAAGCATCCCAGGAGTATTGCACGGTGGTTGTGCCCTGGTTTGGTTGTGCCCTTACCAGTTATACAGTCTTGAACAAATCCATTTATTGCCTCTGTGCCTGCATCTCTTTGCCTAGAATCCTTCCTGGGGTGACAGGGAGAACTAAATCTAAAGTACTCACTTTAAGTAACAATACTGAAGTACCTCCATTTAAGTGCTAGAGTACTCAGTTTAAGTACTGAGTACCAAAATAATCAATCTAGGTACATGTAATGTACTTAGATCCACAGCACAGCAGGGTGACCCACCATAGTTGCTTTTGTCTTCAGTCAGGGTACCTGTAGGGGCCTCAGCCAAGCACTGAGAGAGCCACCTGGAATTGTTCCCACTGAGGACTGGCAGCCCCTAGGTGTTAGGAGGCTGGAGCCCAGAGCAGCAGAAATGCAGTTGAATATGTGCAAGAATCCTAGATAAAGGGTAAAAGTGAAGGGTTTTTATCATGTTGTTACAGTTGTTGAAATAATGATCTAAAGCACTGAAGCCCTTTTGGGCATACTAGCACTTTCTATTAAGTGCTATTAAGCCAGAAGTGATTTCACACGTGATTATTTATATAAAGATAGGTACCGCTTGCTGAGCCCTGGCTATGTCCCTGGCACTCAGGAAGTTCCTTATTTGCAATATCTCATTTAGCCCCCCATAATAACCTCACGACATAAGAACTTTCTGCCTCAGTTTCCTTGTCTATGAAACAGGGATTGTTGACATTCATCTCCCAGGGCTCTTGTAAAGATCAAAACTAGGCTTAGAGTATAGCAAATATTAAGGGCTCGATACATGCTAGCTTAATATGGCCCAGTTATGATGTCCATTTTACAGGTGAGTAAACTGAAGCTCTGGGAGCTGAAATGTGACTTGTGTAAGCTCCTACATGTGGCACGTGGCAGGGCTGGGCTGTGAACCCGCATCCTTATTCGACTGTCCCCACAGCCCTGTGAGATCAGTGCAGTCAGTATCATTATTCCTGTTTGTGAATTACAAAAGCAGTGTTACTTAGTCAGAGTCATAAGTGCTCAAGGCTGCTGGCTCTCTTCTGGTGCTTTCTCCAGACAATCTCGGATCCCTAATGCCAGCAGTACTCTCCACACTTTTCAAAAATGACCATCTCGTTAATTATGCCAAGGAAATTAAAACCACGTGTTAAAGTATCACTGTCCGGGTTTGCCTTTGAATTTTAAAAGTTTTGCATTTAGGAGGATTTTCCTCTAAAATTGCCATTTGGCTCTTGAAAGAAGAAATCTTAATGGAATAATATAAACCCTCCCCGGCCCCCAAGTTGCCGCCTGTCTGCCCGCCATTGTGAGACAGCATCCTGTCCCTCCTGGTCCGCAGCCATCTTGTGGCTGAGTCTGTGGAGTCCTATTTCAGCTACTTTATTTTCCCTTGTCAGCACACAGCAGCCCATTACAGGTTCATTTCTGTAAAAGCAGAGTGAATTATTCATTAGAACATCATTACAAGCTTTGCAATGGAAAATTATTTTCACTTCTGTGGATAATGAACTTCACAAAGAGCTGGCAAAGGGGGAAATCACACGTGTAGAGAGAAGAAAGACAGGAGGTGGTTATAGGCATTTATTTTCCTGTCTTAATCAAATAATTCCTCTAATAATTGGCTCTGAGAGTCACTGAGGAAATGAGGACGAGACGGAGCTGGGAACATAGGCTGTCAACATCAATGTGTCCCTGGATCCCTTTTGTGTGGTGATGATAAGGACTGCCGACTTTGGGGGCTGTGTGCTGCACTCAGGGGACCATAGTCTAGCTTGGGGCTCTGTGATCAAGGGAGTCCCATTAAACCCACTTCCTAAGCAGGCATGCAGAACATCTAGGTTTCTCTCTGATGACTCTTCTCGAAGGCCACCCGCCTCCTTCTCTGGCCAGAGCTCGCCAGTCACTAATGCCCCTTGCTTCTCTCTACTTTCAGAATCCAGGAATTGACATAGGTGATGTCTCCGAAAGAAGAGCCTTGAGGAAAAGTTTAAAGTGTAAGAATTTCCAGTGGTACCTGGACCACGTTTACCCAGAAATGAGAAGATACAATAACACCATTGCATACGGGGAGGTAATTAAGACCACACGTGCCCTCAGCTTGGATGGCTGTGCAGTAGGGATGGGGATTGATTTGATGGAAAAATAGAGGACAGATTCATTCATTTATTCATCCATCCATCCATTCATTCATTCAATGAGTGATTTTGGAGGTATAGGACCTGGCACTAAGGCTCTCACCAGCTGGTAGGGGGACACATGTAATAAAGGTTATAATGGGGAATGGACCGAAGGCCCTGGTAACCCGTTCTGCCAGGGGTGTAGACTGCATGATCAGTTCTGTTTGGGACATTTTGATTTTGAGGTCTCCTAGGACCCGTAAGAGGGACATTGAGCAGGAAGTTGGAGATAAAGACAGGCAGTGATAGGAGCTGTCCACTGCTCAGTGCTGGAGGCCAGAACCGCTTCCCACCAACAAAAGGGCAGATGCTCATAGATTCTCTATGATTAGATAACATCACCTCTCTAAACATTAAAATAGATTGACTTTTCTCTGATTACAAATGCCATAAATATGCATTTTAGAAAACTTTTTTAAATTTTTTAAATGTTTTATTTATTTCTGAGAGAGAGAGAGAGAGAGAGACAGCGTGAGCAGGGGAGGGTCAGGGAGAGAGGGAGACACAGAATCTGAAACAGGCTCCAGGCTCTGAGCTAGCTGTCAGCACAGAGCCCGAGGCGGGGCTCAAACCCACGAACCGTGAGATCATGACCTGAGCCGAAGTCCAATGCTTAACCAACTGAGCCACGCAGGCACCCCTAGAAAAATTTTAAAATAATAATAAAGAGCAGCGAACACTTACAAGTGCTTTAGATGCACCCGGCACTATCCTAAGTGCTTTTCACCTATGAATTTATTTTAGCCTCATTTTATAAGGTAGAAGTATTATGTCCATTTTGTTGATGAGGGAGCTGAGACTTGGATGAATTAAATATTTACCTAAGGTCTCAGCTTGTAAGTCATGAAGCCGGCCTTGGACATAGTCATTCTGACTTCATAGATAATGTATACACTTTTGTGTATGTGTGTCTGCGTGTCCATGCTTTAACTAAAAAAATTTATTTTTTATATACACACATGTATGTTTTTATAAACGCATCGGTATCTATGTATTGCTGAAGCCACCATGTCCACATGTATAATAATTTGAAATAATAATATACCATATTATATTATGCGGTAATATATGTGTGTCATTTCTGCAACATTAGTAATGACTGTGCATGATACTACCTTTATATATGTGGTGTTTTGCTCAAAAATATAGACATTTCTGTTGTTTCTTTTTTTTTTTTTTTACAAATAGTTTGTCAAGTTAGTTTCCACATAACACCCAGGGCTCATCCCCACAAGTGCCCTCCTCCATGCCCATCTCCCCCCTCCCCCCCACATCCATCAGTCCTCAGTTTTTGTCAGCATTCAAGAGTCTCTCATGGTTTGCCTCTCTCCCTTTCCCCCACCATTTCCCCCTTCTTCTCCCCCTTGTTCCTCAGTTAAGTTCCTCCTAATCCTCCTATACATGCAAACATATGATATTTGTCTTTTTCTGCCTGACTTATTTCGCTCAGCATAACACCCTCAAGGTCCATCCATGTTGCTACACAAGGCCAGATTTCATTGTTTCTCATTGCCATGTAGTATTCCATGGTATAGATAAACCACATCTTCTTGATCCATTCGTCCGTTGATGGACACTTAGGCTCTTTCCATGTTTTGGCTATTGTGAAGAGTGCTGCTAGGAACATTGGGGTACATGTGCTCCTATGCATCAGCATTTCTGTATCCCTTGGGTAAATTCCTAGCAGTGCTATTGCTGGGTCATAGGGGAGTTCTATTTTTAGTTTCCTGAGGAACCTCCACACTGTTTTCCAGAGGGGCTGTACCAGTTTACATTCCCACCATGTTGTTTCTATTTTTTAAATATCATAAGCACCACTGCTGAAAATATGCTTGTGTATAAGCCTTGTTGCTTCCTTCCGTCGTGTGTTTGGACAAGGAATCGGTGGCCCAGAGTCAGGTGAGGTCACAGGGAGCCAGACACACTAGACATAGTGGAGACACCCCCACCAGCTCCAGTATTTGGGCTTCTTCCCAGGGCTGCTCGCGCCTGCAGCTAAGGCTCTCTTTGACTTAGAGCATTTCCTTTTTTTATAACTGTGTATTTTCCCACTTCATGCCTGATGCCTTTTATAGGAAGTAAATAAGGGCCAGATTAACCCATCAGGGTGTGGGCGAGGGGTCCCTCCGGAGCTGGACTCTGGAATGGGAAACATGTGTAGCACGTGTCTTGCAGACAAATAGTGATTAGGGGCGTGTGAAGACTGACTCCACCGCACAGGGCTATTGGGAAGATGAAATGAGCTGGGGTAGGCTGAGTGTTTCGAACAGTAGCTGGTACTTGGCACTAACTATATTAACAGGTCCAAATTGCCTTATTTTTTTCTTCTTCAAAATAAAGCCGTGCTTTGGGGGCTTTGGAGTTATCAAAGTAAGATCCAATAAAAGGAGGCATTGAAAAACAACAGGCAGTGAATGGATTATTCGTAAGACAATTGGGTGAATTGCCTAGTTCTTTGGAGAAGAAAACAATTGAGATTCTTGCAGCTCACCACATCCTGAAGTGTATTGCAGATGAACTATAGCGTTAAATGAAAGCAAAGAAATGATAATAGGGCCTTACGGAAATGCATGTGCATCTGATCTCTGAAGGGGCCAGGGCTTTCTAAGCATGAAAGCCTCAGAAGAAAATGCAAAGAAAAAGGATAATGGATCTGAGCTTATAAATATTAAAATAATCTATACATCAACTGAATAGAAAAACAATTATGTATGCCTTAAATAGTATAGATGAATGGATAATACAAATAATATATAACGAGCTCCACAAACTGACTTAAATTTTAATAATTAATTTAAATAAAATAAAGCATCCCCCAAGAAAAATAAAGTACAAGAGAAAACACAAATGGTTGAAAAACATGAAAATTTTCATTGATTTCATCATCAAAGAAATTAAAAGGCATTTTAAAATACAGTGAGGTAGCTTTTTTCTTCTACCAAATAAACAAAGGTTCATATTTGGAGTATATGAGGGCATTCTGCCAGCAAGATATTGGTTATGTGAAAAACCACAACTCCTCTGGTGAGGGTGTAAATTGAAACAAGCCTTTTAAAAAGCAGTTTAAACCACACATATTAAAAGGCTTAATGATAGTCACACTTTCATCTCTACCCTTATCCTAAGCAAATAATTTGAAATGAGCACAAAGATTTGAAAGTAATTGTTCATCTCAGTGACTTTTTTTTTTTTTTGGATCAAAAAATTTGAATCTAACTTGAAGGTTAGTTAAATATACCATATTAATAGTTTGAAATATTTGCAGCCATTTCAAGAGGTATAGACGAAAGTTTAATGACTTGAGAGAAACGTTGATGGTATAATTCTTAAGAGGAAAAGGTCAAGATTATAAAATTGGATTAGCTAGTATTTTAGATTGAAAAGCAAGTGTGAAAATGGCATGGGGAAATGGAGACGGTGGTTCTAGTTAACTCTGTGTGGAGAGATTGGTGGTTTATGTGAAGGTACTTTGTCATGTTTGCCAAATTATTGCTAATATTCATATGATAATACGACAACGAGGAGGAAAGGAATAAAAGCAGGAAAATGCAAGAAGATGGCCAGCGCACAGTTCCACAGGCTGTGCACCGAACAGCTCCAGAGCCTGTCATTCACATGAAGCATGATGTAAATGATGTCGCTGGAGCTGAACAGTGGGGGTCCATGGAGTCAACGTAGAGATCATAGTCTGAGTTTTGGAAAAGGGAAGGCTTTTGTTTTTGCAAGTCACTCTATCTCTTTTAAGTAAGAAATTCAGTGCATACACTCTATAGAAAATAGAAAGATGAAACGAAACTTATCCCAAATCCCAATTCCCAGATATAATCAGTGTTAACATTTTAGGGCATTTGCTTTTATTACTCCTTCTCTGCTTGCTAAGCCCAACATATGCTAAAATATACTTCATATGGACTATAACATTTAATGAAAGAAGTCAAACTAATCAAATTCAGTTTGGTAACAAAATCTACCATTATTTAGACAACTCTATTTCTAACACTCACTCCTACTGGTTCTTTTCACCACACCAGGCCCCCGAGCAACAGGAAAAAGAAGAAGGCAGGGTGAATATCGTACTATATTTGCAATTTATGTCCTTCGTTTTTCATGTACAATTCTGTTTGAGAGTCTTTCCCCAGGCCCATGAATATTTCTGGGTTTAATGCTCCTTGCTCTTTCCCAGTTTTTTAGCTAGCTTGCGTGTTGGCTTTAAAAGATCTTTCTAGTCATGTGAATTGTCTGTGTCTTGTTGTTAATTGCATCATGGTAACCTCTAATGTTCTGTTGTTGTTTTAAGTTTTTATTTAAATTCCAGGTAGTTAACATGTGGTGCAATATTAGTTTCAGGTGTACAGTATAGTGACTCAACACTTCTGTACAGCACCCAGTTGTATATTACATTCCACTTGACCCTTCATTTTGGAGACTCAGAGATGAATTTTTCCCCCAAATTTCTTATTTTTTTTTTTTAATATCCATCCAAGTTAGTCAGCATATAGTGCAACAATGATTTCAGGAGTAGATTCGTTAATGCCCCCTTACCCATGTAGCCCATCACCCCCTTCCCACAACCCCTCCAGTAACCCTCTGTGTGTTCTCTGTATTTAAGAGTCTCTTATGCTTTGTCCCCCTCCCTGTTTTTATATTATTTTTGCTTCTCTTCCCTTATGTTCATCTTTTTTGTATTTTAAAGTCCTCATATGAGTGAAGCCATATGATATTTGTCTTTCTCTGACTGACTAATTTCACTTAGCATGATACCCTCTCGTTCCATCCACACAGTTGCAAATGGCAAGATTTCATTCTTTTTGATCGCCGAGCAATAATCCATTGTATATACACACCACGTCTTCTTTATCCGTTCATCCATCGATGGACATTTGGGCTCCTTCCATACTTTGGCTATTGTCAATAGCGCTGCTATAAACATTGAGATACATGTGCCCCTTCGAAACACCACACCTGTATCCCTTGGATAAATATCTAATAGTGCGATTTCTGGGTTGTAGAGTAGTTCTGTTTTTAATTTTTTGAGAAATCTGCATACTGTTTTCTAGAGTGGCTGCACCAGTTTGCATTCCCAACAGCAGTGCAAAAGGGTTCCTCTTTCTCTGCATCGTCGCCAACATCTGTTGTTGCCTTAGTTGTTAATGTTAGCCATTCTGACGGGTGTGAGGGGGTATCTCACTGTGGTTTTGATTTGTATTTCCCTGATGATGAGTGATGTTGAGCATTTTTTCATGTGTCAGTTGGCCATCTGCATGTCTTCTTTGGAGACGTGTCTGCTCATGTCATTATCCCATTTCTTCACTGGATTATTTGATTTTGGGTGCTGAGTTTGATAAGTTCTTTATAGATTTTGGAAACTAACCCTTTTCTGATATTTTGTTTGCAAATATCTGATCCCATTCCATCGGTTGCCTTTTAGTTTTGCTGATTGTTTCCTTCACTGTGCAGGAACTTTTTATTTTGATGAGGTCCCAATAGTTCAGTTTTGCTTTTGTTTCCTTTGCCTCTGAAAACATATTGAGTAAGAAGTTGCTGTGGCCGAGGTCAAAGAGGTTTTTGCCTGATTTCTCCTCAAGGATTTTGATGGCTTCCTGTCTTACAGTTAGGTCTTTTAAGGGATGAATTTAAAGAAAAAAAAAAAACAGTAGAAGCAGTGCGATTGCTGGGTCGTAAGGTAGTTCTAGTTTTTGAACTTGTTGCACATCACAAGAGCCCTTCTTAATCCCCATCACTTATTTCTCCCTTCTGGTAGGCATCAGTGCTCTATAGTGAAGAGTCTGTTTCTTGGTTTGCCTCTCTCTCTTTTTCCCTATGTTGTTTTATTTATTAGACTCCACGTATGAGTGAAATCATATGGTATTTGTCTTTCTCTGACTTATTTCACTTAGCATAATACTCTCTAGCTCGGTCCACGTTGTTCTTTATCCATCCATCAGTCAATGGACATTTGGGCTCTTTCCATAATTTGGCTATTGTAGATAGTGCTGCTGTAAACATCAGAGTGCATGTACCCCTTATAGCAGTATTTTTGCATTCTTTGCATCTGGTAGTGCAAAGATGCTCAGCACCACTCATCATCAGGGAAATACAATGAGATATCAACTCACACCTTTCAGAATGGCTAAAATCAACAATACAAGAAACAGCAGATGTTTGAAGATGCGGAGAAAGAGGAGCCCTCTTGCACTGTTGGTGGGGAATGCAAACTGGTGCAGCCGCTTCGGAAAACAGTATGGAGGTTTCTTAAAACTTAAAAAGAGAACAACCCTATGATCCAGCAAGTGCACCGCCTCTAATGTTTTGTTTTGTTTTGTTTCTAATTCATCTGCGAGTCCCCAAAGTGGAGGGTCAGGTGGTATGTAATACAAGAATGTTAACACACTTTCTCCTGACTGAAAAAGTTCATCACCTTCTCAGCCTTTGCTAATATTATCTAGGATTTTGGACACAAGCATTCTTTTCCTGTATTTATAGATTTTACCTTTCAGAATAACTTTTCGGTTAAATTCATTTCAGTAGCAAGATGTACGATTATTCGGGCAACTGTATTTTAACACTTTCTGCTAGAAGTCCTGTTTGCTACACACAGAGACCCCAGCATGGTGGCAGAGGGGGCAGACACCTCTGACCAGATGTCAGCCCCAGTGTCTTTCATCCTGACAACAGTGATGGCCCCCAGGCCCCCTTACAGAGTAAGCCACCTTCCTTTGATTGTTAAGCGTCTATTCACCTCCATTAGCTGGAATGCTTTAACATAAATTTTTAGTTTATTTTGAGAGGTTGAGAGTGCAAGGAGGAGAGGGGGAGAGAGAGAGAGCGAGAGAGAGCGAGAGAGAGAGAGAGAGAGAATCCCAAGCAGGTTCTACACCATCAGTGGGGAGCCCGATGCAGGGTTCGAACTCACGAACTGAATCATGACATCATGACCTGAGCCGAAATCAAGAGTCAGACGCTCAACAGACTGAGCCACCCAGGCACCCCTGCCTTAACCTAATCTTTAAAGAAATACATGTGGCTGCTTTATTTCGTGACTCCTCCACATATGAGATATTGCTTTTCCACACATAAAAGCAACTCAGTGCACACAAAAACATTCACCACCAGGTCTTTCGTTCAAAATTCTGTGGTTGGCTCATACTCTCCTGGTGCCTCTGTCCCTTGTTTGGTTTTATTCATCTTTTTTTCCCTCTTACCATTATTTATATGAAAGGCAATGCACATACGATATGCATAAAGCATACATGTATAGCATAATAATATACAGCAAAACTCCAGGAGCTCCTGCCTGCGGAAAAATTAGACCGTTGCCAGCAATTCTTCCACTTACATTTTTTAACACTTGGCTCCCAAGCACCATACCTCTTCTTAGCATCCGACCCCTCCGATGGAATGAGGACATGTTTCCATCGCTGTCCTGGCAAAATTCAGTCTCATACTAGGCCTTCGTGTGTCTGTCTCTTCAGACCATGGACTGTTCCAGGGCAGGGACTAGTTTGTTTATTTTTGCATTTGTTAAACTTAGCACAGTCCCAGGCACGTCTGAAGCTCTGCATAATATTTATTAAGTTACTGAATAATAGATTTCTTTGCATTAACATTAGAAACAAAATGTAAAAGCCCAGCATTCCGAAGTCATTATATGGGACAGATATGCCATGAAAACAATATCCTTAATATATAAAGAGCTCTTCTAAATTTACAATAAAATCCCTGGAGATCCCAGTGGGGAAATGAGCAGATAATTCTCAAAAAGGGAAATAATCGCTAAACCTGAAACATTCCAATTCCCTATTAATTGTAAATTCACAAAAACAGGAATGTCTGTCCTCACCTCTCAAAACAATGTTTTTGATCACCTGTAATTTTTATTTTTTACTTATCATAAAAACTTTATTAGACTCCATTGGACACATTTTTACAATATTGGTCTTGTGTAGACATTTAAAAAAAAGACATAAGCAAAATACATTTGGTAGAGGTATTTCTAAAATTTTATCACTTGCAACATCTTAATTCTTCTGAATTACTTTGTGACTCAGAGGCTGTTTGAGTTTTTTCCATGTAATTTATCCTTTGACTCATTGAAAGCATTGACAGTGAGCATTTCCTCAAAGCATTAGAAGAGAACTAAAATACAACATGGGCGCCAAGGTGGCTTAGCAGCGATTGCTTGCTTGGGACCTTTTATGCAATGTGTCTGATGCATCACATCTACCCATCTGCACAAAGTTTTAGTAACTTTGGTTTAAAACAGCTTTCTTTTTTTTTCTCCCTCCAGCTTTATTGAGATGTAATTGACACAGAACATTGTACAAGCTTAAGGGATCCAATACGTTGATTTGATACCCTTACATATCATAAAGTGATTATTGCCACAGAGTTAACTAACACCTCCATTACATCCCCTAATTACCATCTCTTTTTCTTTTTGTGATGAGAATATTTAAGATAACCTAGTCCCTTAGTGATTTTCAAGTATGTGATACAGTATTATTGGCTATAATTACCATGTTGTGCACTATGTTCCCCAGAATCTAAGTATGGAAGCTTGTCTACTTTGACCAACATAATATTTTTAAAGGGAGAAACTCGGAACTAATAAATATTTACATACCTTGTGGATGGGAATAGAAATTAGTTCAAAGCTTCCAGAAAGGATTTGGACAGCGTGTTTTAAGAACATTAAGGTAGCCATACCTTCTGCTAGGATTATTTTCTTAAGAACACCTGAAGTGTGAACAAGCTCTACACCACAGATGCTCATTACAGTCAAAAATTTGAACAAAACTAAATTGTCTCAAAATCGAGGGAACAATGAACCGATAGTGGGAAAGGATGGTAAGCAATCGTTACTTTCTTGTACAGTTTTCAAGCTATCCAGTAAGATGGTATTATTTTTGTAATCTTTTTTAAAAAGGTGATAAAACTCTGCCCAGTTGCCTGAACCTAGACACGATGTGGGAGCACAGAAGCAAAAGCCCCTTCCCTCTCTTCTGGATTTGTTCCTGGTTAGCTTGGTTTCCACGGAGGAGACCCAGTGAAGGGCCAGCAGCACTTTCCCACTGGTTGAGATTGTGGCATGGTGGGTGGGATGGACACCAATATAGGACCACAAGTTCCAATTAAACAAATTCTTGCGTGTACCCAAAGAGCTGCGCAGAGCCAGGTTCAGGGGTTTTGTCTTGTGGACTTTGGCCCGTTCTGCCACAGATGCATTCCAAACCCCCAGGAAGATGTCTGCCGCAGTGTAGGCATTCGGTAGCGCTCTGGAGACCCAGTGGGTAACCAGTGTTCCTATATCCAGATGTTTCCCTATGTTTCTCTTCTGTGCTGGGGATGGGGGAGCCGTGTGCAGACAGGGACTAGGGGTGTCACAGGCAGAGGGCTCATGCCCACACCAGGCATTGAATCACTTTGTCTTTCTTGCTAAAATGATCTCCTCCTGGATCTGAGCCTTCATCCTCACTTGGGGGGTCACGTGGCCTTTGCTTCCAAAAGTCAGAACCAAGGTGTGGCAGAACCAGGGTTGGGCCGCAGGATTTCCGCCCGGTGGGCTCTGATGGGTGATGTTTTGCCTGTTCCTACAGCTGCGAAATAACAAGGCTAAAGACGTCTGCTTGGACCAGGGGCCACTGGAGAACCACACAGCAATACTGTACCCGTGCCATGGCTGGGGACCCCAGGTAGGAGCCTGTCTCTGACCAGGAGGGGAGGGGAGTCAGCGGCCCCCAGAGGATCTGTGGGGCATCTACTTTGTCTGTCTACTTTGTAGCTGTGTTCTAAGATTTTCAGGAGAAGGCAGGGGGCTTTCTGGTTGCTTCTGCATAACAGTTGGGGAAAGATTCATGAGCGTTTGCATCAGCACAGATACGAAGAGGATCAATGGGCACACTGCACACTGAATAGAGAAGGTGAATGCATTTCAGAGTCATTTGCAAATAGGCATGTATCTGCCACATGGGCATACGTTATAATCATGATTAAATATGTCTGTTTACACATACTTCAAAGAAATAACCGAGTTCCTCAAGAGAACATGCCTAACACATTCATCCCGAAAGGCCAGTTGGGTGGTAAGTGTGACCGGGTCTGTAAGCACTGGTACGAGAGCCAAGGGCTGACTGGGCAACAGGAACATGCCAGTCGTAACATTTCAGAGAGCACCCACATGCTCCAGTCTCCCAAGAGAACACAAGATAACTCAAGAAAGGCACTACGTCCAATCGACAAAGGAAAAACAGAGCCCAGTCAGTGAATTTCCCTTGGCAACTTTGTGCTAACCCAAGGTGTGCTGCGTGCATGTATGCATACGTGTGTGTCTCTGTGTGTGCATATACGCGCACGTGTGTGTGTGTGTGTGTACATAAAAAACTTAGCAGAAATTCTGAGATTTGGGAGAAAACACATCCAAAAATGCCATTAGACTTGGCATTCATAAAAATTTAAGACATTTTTTTATGTCAACTAATAGTAATAAAAGGCAGGCTACAAATGGGGAAAACAGGTATAATTCAGTCCTAGAAGAACACCAGACATTCAGAGCCAGATTCACTGGTTCTCTCTCTTGGGTTCTATTTGTTCATCTGTAATAGGAAGATACTGGACAAAGATGCCCCGTAGCTCCCTTGGTCCGTCTCCTGTGAACACATACACATTCAGTTGTGAATTCACACTCGTGGGTCATGTGCCCACACTCACGCATGCATTCCTGAAGGCTTGTGGGTTTCTTCTGTTCCTGGCACTTTCGCTTCCCTTTAAGCCAATACCTGGAAAGAGAGGAGTTGTGTTTTCTCTACTATCATGACAGATAGTTCTTTTATTTTAAGTTTATTTATTTATTTTGAGAGAGAGCAAGTGCAAGCAGGGGAGAGGGAGAAAGAGAGGGAGAAAAAATCCCAAGCAGTATCTGAGCTGAAGCACGGACCCCAACATGGAGCTCAATCCCATGAACTGTGAGATCAGAATCTGAGCTGAAATTGAGAGTCAGACACTTACCCGAATGAGCCACTCAGGTGCCCCATGGCAGGTAGTTCTGAAAGTCCAGACCCCCAGCATCCCTTCAGTATGTGACAAGTCCTCTGAAGGTGGATAATGGGCACTGTGGGACAGATCAAACCCTGAGCCCTTTGCTTCCTGAAGCCCTTCTGGGAGGTAGACAGGCAGCATGGGGAAACTGAGGCACAGAGAGCAAGTGCCCGTGAGCAGAGCAGACTAGAACCCAGGCCCTCCAGCATGACTAAAGCCCTTTACATTCAAACCCAACCCATGTAACTCGAGATGATTTCCTGAGCCCACAATTGGCTGAAAGCACCCGTGGGGAGCAGGAGAGAGACCAGGAAGCCCAGACCTGCTCTGTGTCCTGATGGCTCTCCGCAGGGACGTGGGGCACTCACAGGAAAGGCAGCAGGGACTAAAGAACCCAGGGAGCGTCTCTGTTCGTTTATTCACTCGCTCAATGCGTGTGTCTTGAGCACTGACTGCAGGTGCTGGTCACGAGTATATTTGGTGGTGGATAGGATCTGGTCCCTGCTCTCAGATGGGTTACACTTAGGGAAGAGACAAAGAGACGGGAAACTCTAGAGCCTAGGAAGTGTGGAAAGAGCAAGATAGCCTGGGAGCCGAGACACAGAAGGCGGCCCTGTATGGCTGGCACTCAGAGTTGCGAGAGCGAAGGGGTGGCTGAGAGATCAGGCCGGAGGGGATGGAGAGGCGGGTCTCTCAAGAGAAGATGTGCTTCAAGGCACTGGTCCTTGCCTTCAGGGTTCGGCAGAATCACCTGGAAGGCTTGTGAAAGCCTGGCTTCTGGACTTCTGGGCGCCACTCCAGGGCTTCTGAGCCAGGGAGCCTGCGGAGGGTGGGGAGATTTTGCATTTCTAGTAAGTTCCCAGATGAGGCCATGGCCTGAGGAGTGGGGGACTTGACTCTGGGGCACTAGGGAACCACAGTGGGGTGACAGCTTAGATCGGCCTTAGATTGAACTCCCGGAGGAGTTCAGAGAGGGGAGGGTGCCATGGAAGCATCCTGGCCGATGGCCCCTGATGTCCCTCCAGCTCTTCCCTCACAGGGTCTGGAGGTGACGAGGACCCTGGGAGCCTTGGTGGCCTGGGAGGTGGAAGTGGGGAGCTGTGGCCTGCAGGTGATGGTCAAGTCAGACATTTAAGAGGCCGCATCTTGGGACAAGCCAGATGACCAGCTGGCAGTGGAGCCTAATTGGTGGGTGAGCTGGCCGGGAGGGGGACAAGGGCACATGGCGGTGTCAGGGCAGCGGGAGCCTGGACGCCAAGCCCTGGGGGTGCCCACTTCTGAGCCACACTGCTGTAGATGACCCTCATTCGGGAGATGCCAAGAAAGCGTTTAGAAAAACACGGAACTTCCAGATTTCTCCAACCCAGTCTTCTGAATACGTAACATTGTGACTAAGTACTTGCTAACTGTGGCATAATAGACACTGTCATGTTTCAATATCTGCATAATCACAAACTGGCCTGTGAGGCCAACCTCTGGGCATGAGAAAAGGAATAAAGGTGGTCTCATAAACGTCCCCCAGCCATCTGAGGGCTTCCCCGCATGGCTCCAAGCAGTGGCCTTTCACTCGGGTGATTCTGGAGAAGGTTTTCTAAGTCACTCCGGAAGTTCTTAGCTGAACGTGAGGACCAGCGCATAGAGGTGACTCCATCTGTCTTCTGTGACCCTGGGGCCACCTCCCCCAGGGTGCTTTGCCCTCTCCTTCTGCCCTGGGCTGTCAGAACACCCTCTAAGTCCCTTGCGACGCTCACAGCTCTGGGAGAGACCCCAGCAAACTTGGCCTTCCTCACCTTCCTGTCCGGAGCCTTCACTCCTCTTGCATCCCTGCCTCAGAGTCCCCACAGTCATCTGCAAAACAGGTCCAGCAGGAACGCCCCGGTGGCCCGTCTCCCCGACCACGGATGGCCACCGGTTAGCTCCCTGCCCAGCCAGCAAGCTGGCCTCTCCTCAGGAGCACGCACGGCAGAATACCGGTGCCTTGGGTGGGAAATAACTGGAATTCATCTTCTCCCCGTTCCACCTGCACACAGAGCTTTTCCAGATGAATGTTCCTGCCATTTAGTGGATGTAGAATATAAAGCAAAGGAGGCTATTCATTGACACCCCCCCACACACACTCTGGTCTGAACAGCTCAGATTGGGCCAAGGTTGTTTGCCATCAGCTGATTTTTTTAAAAATAAGTCTAATGTGGTTTTCTGTTCCTCCACACATTCCGAAGTAAGAAGGCACCCTGGGTACTTCTCTCCAGCTGCCAGGCTGCCCCCCACCGCCGCTCATCAAGGTTTCCTCCGCCTCCTTCCAAAACCACTCCCTCTGCGCTCGGAGTGAGTTCCCCACCAGTCACGTGCCTTGGCATCTTGTAAGACCGCTTCGTAAAGTGCTGTTGGGCAAACAGAGATGGAATCAGAGCTCCTGCAACTAGGCAACTCCCAGATGAAGGAATTGTTGTTCCACGGACATTGTTAGCTTAATTAATGGACTCTCGGTCGTAATTTATTATCCAACAGCAATTAAACGGAGATAAAATAAGCACCGAGGAGGGTAATTTCCTGTCCTCCAGCACGTGTTTGTCAACAAAATGGAAAAGGTTCGCCGCCACTCGGAGAGCCTGCCCCCTCGCAAGTGTCTGCCAGCGAGCTGGTGACCCGCCTTGCTCTTGTCTGGTTACTAATTTGGATTGGACGGTTGCCCGTTTCTTTTCTGAGCTTAAGTTTTACCTAGAAATAGGGTGTCAAAGATGGAGCAATTGCCTTTGACGTCAGTCTGACCTCATTTAGAGCCGGGGTTCTTGTCCAAGGAGGCCCTCGGCACCCCCACCCGGCTCCAGGTTGCCAATCCAGGCCCAGGTCAGCCTCTTCTGCCAGCCCGTGTTATCTCCCCATCCACCCAGTCCACCTGTCAACCATGTCCAACCTCTCCTTCTGATTTCCCTGGAGGACAAAGGTCAAGGAGAGAGAAGGGCAGGCAGCGCTGTCCCCAGGAGCCTCCAGTCACATGTGACATCTTCCATCCTTGCCCCTTAACACCTCCGAGGGCTCTGGGCTGCTCTCTTGAGTCCCTGCGGCTGAGCTGTGGTTGAGGTCCCAACGGTGTGGCAGGCCATGGACTGTGGCCCAGAGCTTCACGGCACAACCCTGAGCCCTGGGCCAGAGCTACAGCTGGGTGGAGACAGGGAATAGAAATGCTGGCGATAGGGCACCTGGGTGGCTCAGTCAGTTAGACATCTGATTCTTGAGTTCCGCTCAGGTCATGATCTTACGGTTTGTGTGTTGGAGCCCCCCAGGCTCTGTACTGGCAGCATGGAGCCTGCCTGGGACCCTCTCTCCCTCTCTCTCTGCCCCTTCGCTGCTCATGCTCTCTCTCTCACTCTCAAAATAAATAAATAAGCATTAAAACTTTTTTTTTTAATTTTGACAATAAACCCATTTCTGTTTTTAGTAACATGTTTGATCCCACCAGGCGGGTAGTGACCTCCCCACCCCCGATTTTACGCATGGAAACATGGAGATTCAGGTACTACCATGGTATTTTTCAAACTAAAGCCCCGTGACTCCTGGTCATGAGTCCTTGGCTCTGGCATCCGGTGCGTTCTGGGGAGCTTGTCTCACTCCCTTGGGGGAGGCCCTGTGGTTCACTAGCTCACGGCAAGGCGTAGAA